ATTTTATATTTTTTATCTTTCTTTTTAATGTTCTGTGATTATTTATGATTTTGATGCTTTTTTGTTTTGTTCAGCACTTTGAATTGCCTTGTGTATGAATTGTGCTATAAAAATAAACTTGCCTTGCCTTGCCTTGCCATAGTCCTGGGGCCTGCTTGGCCGACTGTACAGTCTACCATAGAAAATTGTGAGTACTTCAGTACGTATCGTGGCACAAAGCAATGAGAAATAATTTAGCATGTCTTCTTATAAGCTTGTTCACTACGCTCATCATGTTATAATTAATCACAAAAACTACCTATCAAAGAGTATTAATCCTACAAAATCTAATCATTTGGCCCTCAGTATTGACTCTAGATTAAAGATTAGGCTCTTGGCTTTAATCTGCAAAAAACGGCTTGTTTTTACCTTTTACCGCTCTTGAGAAATCTGTCATAGAATGTAGTAACTACAATTTAATCCAAAACATAGATCTCTCCTGGAGTCGGTCCCGGGTCATCCCAGTGCAGGCGCTGCAACTTAATCACTAGACCACCATTACATGCAATACATATTTATCCCCAGGCAGGCTTTTTAACTGTTTATCAAGAACATGGCAAGTTTGCTTCAGACAAAAAGTTTTTATCCGCCAAATCGTCACTGCGGGTAACTGTTGTAGCCAAGTCGACCGCTTGTGTCAAATCAGTCGGCCCTCGGGGGCCCCCTGCCGGTTTGGGGGCCCCAGGCAGCTGCCTGCCTTGCCTAATGGACGCCTCGTCTAATGAGCAGCTTTTTTCACACAAAAAGTGAACCATGGTGGAATCAAGGTTCCTTAAACATTGCTCGAAAGATGTTTAGACCTTGAGGAGCCAAGACCACTGGTTTTACAGTTAGCAGCTAATGTCGGTTCTTTGTGATTTCAGAAAAAATGGAAGTGCAGCAAAAGTGGAAAATTATGGAGCATTGGTGGTGATGGACTTCTATTGCATGTTGTACTTCATTGTAAAGTCTATTATCTCAGAGAAACAGCCATATACTGTAAATGAATCTGTTCTTAAAGGTGAGCAGAATGTAATTAGAAGTTATAGTTATTTAATTATTTCATTGTTTATATTTATCAGTCCATAACTATTTGGCCCAGCTGTGGTTGAATCCAAACCTGTTAGAAAACAACATCCAAACTTGTGTTGAATACAGTTAAATTGTCAAAAGACATAAATATGGCCCAGACCCGCTCTTATGTTTTTAAATTCGGCCCCCAACCAAATTGAGCTTGACAACCCTGCAGTAGAGGATCAAAATATAACTAGAAAACTATGGAAAGCACACATTTTTCATTATTATATATCTAATTAATGCATTGCATGTAGGTCTACCTAATTAGAAATAAAAAGTCCAGGGTGCATAGCTGAAATCCTCCTGCAGACCGTCGGCTTGTTTAAAACTCAGTGAGCTCGTGCTGAACACCTGAAAGGTCAGGCTTCTGCGAGCCGACACCAGTGGCACACAGTCACCTCCTCTTCCTCCCTCATGAATATTGATACCACAAAATAAAACTATGCAATCTTCTTTCATCTGTGCCACAAGAGCCCCAGGAACTCAAGTAAACCCATTTTCTATTCTGTTTCATGTCCTCAAATAAATATTGTTTCCCCTCCTCCCCACCAACATTTTTTTTATATTTATATAATTACACACAACAACCTGACTGTTTTTTTCTGGAATAGATGTTTTTCTCCTCTCAAATAATAGGAAAACATATTCATAATAGGCCGAATCAGCATCAATGTGCATGACGCATTAATAAACAATGTTCCCCAGAATACTGTTCAACGATATTATTAGTCTAAATTAGAATTGCAGGCTGAGTTAGAAAAAAAAGAACTGGAAAAATAACAGGAAATGGAGAGAGAACGGGGGAACAATGACCACATAATAAATGAAAAACAAGTTTATTCTTTGTTTTGGACCAGAATGTTTTTCAAAAACAAAATTGACTTGCAGAATCTATCAGAAAACCAAACCACTGGCTTACAGTCGATTACAAAAATACAAATATCAATCAATCAATCAATCTTTATTTATAGGGCGCTTTTCCTGCACAGGGCAACACAAAGCGCCTCACAGTCCACACCACACAATGCACAAATCATCACCATGATACAGCGTGAACTTTTGAACATTTTATCACGTACAACCACAAACAAATTACATGTATTTAGGATTCTATTTTACACCACAACAGACAACACTGAAGTGATTGACAATTATACAAACATTTGAAAACACTTTTTGCCTCTAAAACATCTGAAAATAAGCTTTAAAAATGTGAATTGCATTTGTTTTAGGACTTTTTTGAAAATAAACAAATGGCCGGACTTTTAGTGAAGCTGAGACGAGAGCGGGGACAGTACATGTTCATGAACACATCACTCCGGATTGTAGCGTTGGGCTGATTTCCATCTGTTGTCCCACATTCGCACTCACAAACACACACTCATTCAACTATTGCACATGAAACCGGAAGACTCGGCGGAAACCTACGCAGACACAGGGAGAACATGCAAACTCCTCTCAGAAAGGACCTGTTCTGACCGGGATTCGAACCCAGAACCCACCGTGCAGCCCGATCCTTCAGAGTCTGTAGACACTTTCAGTTTAATACAATACAATTCAATAAAAAAAAACACTCCGCCCCATCTTAACATAAATACTATACTTTGATGCATTTAGGTTTCATTTATGGATGCTTCATCGTTTTTAAAGTCACAATATCAAAACAAAATTTTTATATTTATGCATTTTTTTTAAACTGAAAAGACTGGGATGAGGGAAATACTGCATTACTAAATAAAGATAAAAACAAATATTGTATGAATTTTTTTTTTTCTTCCGTCTTTTTTTTCACACCCCAGTCTGACACCAGTCTGTAGTTTTGGCATCTGATGAGTAATGTGTTCTTTAGAAGCCATCAGAATCTTTCTAATTATAAGTAGGAACAAAGAAACATACTGTACATTTCCTATTCACATTTTTTTCAGTAATAATGTCAAAATTATACCTGGAGAAAAATGTATGTCCTGAATGAGTTCAAAATATAAATGTTGAACAATGTTAAACACCACCAGAATATCTTTTATTAACAAAATTTACACAAAAGTGGATGGTACTGTCTGAAACTCCCCTCGCGTTATGATATAGTTACTGGGTAAAACTTAAAGCAAAAGGTAAAGGTGCACTTTATTAGGGCAATTACTATTAGGGCAACTCATCCTCTGCATTTGACCCACCCTGATGCCGCGAAGGCTTGCGTCAGGAGCAGTGGTCGCCGTAGTAACAGCCCCCGAGAACCCATCTCCAGGTGTTGATGCTCGGCTTGGTCAGGACTACCGGAGCTGGAGGATTTTACCTAGTGAGCATATTTTTAGTGGTAGGGGAAACCTACGCAGGCACGGGGAGAACATGCAAACTCCACTCAGCCACCATGCCCCCCCCTTTTTGTTTTTCCACAACCTCCAGACAAAAGTAGACGAAAGATACACAAGAGCTAATCAAGGATATCAATTTGGAATCATATGAAAAGTGACATTTATCAATCCTGTAGTTGTGTTTCATTTGCTCTCCATTTCTGACCTGCGTCTTCGCTTCTTTAATAACGTCCCGCTCAGAGCAACGCGCACAGCTGCTGTTATTCCATTATCCTTCAGATCATTTGTCAAAACCTTCCAATCATTTCTCCTCGTTTCTTGACATTGAGGCAGGACAGTCTGTCGAACGAGTCAAATTATGTGAAGAGTTTTCATTCTAAATGCATTAAATCTCCCTGAATAATAAAACGCACAATCTTTTGAAATGGACTTTTTGATCACACAGTCTTCAAAGATGTACAGCTTCAGAGTTCAATGTATTTAGTTTCCATAGAATCAACTGCTTTTGAAATCCGCTAGACATTTCATGGCTGACAACAAGCCTGTGCCTCTCCTCTCACTGGGCTCACTGAGAATACTCATGGACTGATGATACTCCCACACACGGATCTTACGTCTTATTCATTTGCATTAAAATCAGACGTAATGCTCTTATAACTTTGCTTTTAAAGAGATGGTTCAAGCACAAACAAACAGCACACACTCCCAGATTAGAACACAACATGTCTTTATCACAATAGAAAACATATTGTGTGTATACTTGTAAGAAACACATTTGGGCTGAGAGACAATGCTTGGTAATGCTGTTGTAAAGATGTGACAAAAGTAAAAAAATATATATATGCAAGGTAGTGATAGACGAGATAGGGATTAGTTTATTTGGTTGGGACAGTGCGTGAACACACCTCTCTGGATTGTAGCTTTGGGTTCGTTTGCATCCGTCGTCCCACAGTGGCACTCACAAACACTTTGTCATTCACCATGAACTATTGTACATGTTTTGAGTTTTAGGGAAAACCTACGCAGACACAGTTAACGTTACATTTCTCAAGACCAAATTATTCTTATATTACTCACCCATTATGATAAAGTGAAATAGGCCAATGATAACATCTGTTTTCGTCGTAATTTAAAAGCTTTGTTTAAATTCTATTAATTTTTGTCTGAGCCTAAAATAAACTGTAACTTATACACCAATAAACAACACCAAATCTTAAACTCATGTTGAATAAAAAGTCATGATTTTGTCAAAATACTTTCCTCATATGAATGAATGTACACAAATTTACCCACAGGTGCAAAAGATGACCTTCCACTAAGATAATCACTTTTACACTTTTACACTACCATTTATTATTTTTTCTATTGGCCGCAAGACCAAAAGTAGTTTACCACCTCTGAGTTTGATGTAAATTATTAGACAAAGATTAGGAACCCCAGCTTTAAGCACAGTATGCCCTGCACAGAGCAGAACTTTGGTTATAAACCAGACACAACTATCTCAGCCACTGGCGCAAATTTTGACAGAAATAATGGAATAAGATTGTTCATACATCTTCACCAAATTAGATATTCTATGCCTCCCATTGCATTCTAACCCCAAATGTTGAGCTGCAATAACGAATTGCTCTCGAAATAGAGCAGACAACTCCAGGCAGCACTCTCCTCAATTAAAGTCGGGCACCCAAAGCTACCCAGCGCTGGGGAGGGTTCTCCGTCTTTCCTGTCGTTGTTAATCTCCCCCCCCCTTTGCTGATTTCCGGTCAGTGCAGACACATATCTTACGGAAAAAGCGGGAAAACGGAGGAGGAATGGGATAGGAATTCCGCTGAGAGATGTGGACATAAACTCAATATGTGCCAGCTGCTCCAGGACACTTTCTAATGAGCGCAGACGGAAGCAGAGAAGGGGGAGAGGCTGGCGCTGGCAGGCTGGCCACGGGGCTCCGAAGGCGGGGAACGTTAGCTGCGGAGGAGGCCGTACATCCAGAGCAGATGGATGAGATAGAGTCTGGAGTTGGAAGGTTAGAAGGACACATGAAAGAGGGGCGTTGGAAATAATAATATGTGTTGCATATTTGTTTTTGCTTTGGAAGTGTAGAGATTCCAGCCCACATCAAAGTGCTGAATACCCAACTGACCCTGATCAAAAGTTTCCAACCCCCTGTGTGTATTTCCCCTTTAACATCCATGGCAGCTTGGAGTCTTGTGGTAATGAAGTTGCCTATTGCCCATTCTTCTTGGCAAAAAGCCTCCAGTTCCTGTAAATGTGCATCAACTGCTCATTTGACCTCTCCAGAAATCTGCTAATTTTCCTAATTTGAAAATGTTTGTTAATTGCGACAAAATGTAGAGCCACACATTAGTAGTTAGATATTGAGTTGGCGGGGGGAGTATTGTATTATCACTAGGGATCCCCAAATACTTTCAAATAAAACTATTTAGGGAGTATTATTTTGATATCCTGTACAAACAAAACTGTAGTGTATATATCTTTAAATAATGATCATTCTTGGGTCAGAACTGCTCTAAAACAAATGATATTTTGTTTGTTTGTTTGTTATATAAGGAGCACGACCATGTTTTTGGGACTTGAGACTTGGAAGTGAAATAGGTTGGATCTTAAAATAAATATATTCTAAAAATAAGTATATCTAAAATAAGTCTGTGATAATTTATTAAAGTCACATTTCTCTGAGTTTCTGTTAGTTTTAGTATAAATGAACATATATGATGTATTATTGGTGCAGTCCGAGACCTGTGTGTGTTCTATGCAATGTAATTTCTTTAAAGGATATTACATTCATAAATATTTTGAATGTATCATAAAATATATTGAAAAAAAGTTTTAATAATACAGGCTTCAAATGACGTTTGTTAAAACATCGGCAGTAGTGGGTGCCAAAAACATTGGATTTGGAAGTAGCACACTGTTGCGGTTCAGTGTCTTTTAGAAAAATTATTAGACCAAGACCTTTCCCACTTTTCCATTCCCGGGAATACAAAGCTTATTTTCAAATCCTGCCTTTTCAAACTCTGAATACCACTGAATACTTTCCGAGCTTCATCACTGAAACACAATCACGCCATTAGCAGACACAACTGCGTGATTAAAATGAAAACCATGTGGATCCCCTTCATTTGGGTAAAGAGAAAAAAAACTAAAAAAATTGCACACCACTTCAATCCCAGATGCTTTGTTTGCCTAATTAAATGAGTAGGAGCACATGAGAGATCCGGGATAAGCTTTCAATTTGGTGGTAAAGACTATACAGTAGTTGGCCTGATTCTTGCCTTGCCACTTTGCATACTAACTCTCCGACAATGTACCGGCTCATCATCGCATATTCTCCCAGCTAATAACGGCGGCGCTCCACATCCGAACAAGTATAATAGCTCGTTCTTAACTGTGTATGAGGAGATGAAATGAAGTCGGGAGATGGCGTTTGCTTTGTGGTCGGATGGGGGCAAACTCCGACGTTGAGGGCACGCTAAAGTGTCATGGAGGTTTCAAAATAGAGAGGAGTAGAAGAGAGTAAAGAAAAAAGTAAAGAGGTTAGGAGAGAGAGCGTGTTGGCTGTATTTGCCAGTACATAAAGCTGCTTTCCAATCAATATTATGCATTAAGTATGGATCAGATGAGCAAAGGGGGGACAGGAGAGAGCCGAGGCCATGCACACCGCTCTGTAGTGGAGCTTACCGATGAAACTTTTAACCAGGGTAATTTATGTTCTTCAATATTCTTCATTTATTGTTCTATTTTGGTCACCATATGGTTTCAAAAAAGCATTGACAATTTCTCCACTTGGGGTTAATTGATTTTGAATGTATTTGAGCTGTTTACATTCTTGTGTAAGGACAAGTTTACAAGTTACATACTTTGGTTCAAGCTCAAAAGGAAAAAGAAATAAGGATATAAATAAGACAAATATTGCATACATACATCGATAATTGCTTACATATATACAAACATACATACTACACTATTGTCATTTATTCCATTCAAACAACCATTTACATAAAAAATATGGTATAATTTTGCCGATAGTTTGAAATGCAATTATCACGATTCATTTATTTTTAAGCTGTATATAACTTGATTCAAAATTGTAATCGTTTGACAGTATGTGTATGGAAGGAACGATTGATAGATATTTTAGCATCATGTAATTGAGTCTATAAGCTATCCATAAGCTATGCAGGCTTATGTTTATGAGCCACGGAAGAACCGGCCCACAGCGGCGAAGAGTCGAGAGAGTCCCGTCCTCTGTGGTCCAAACAGGAACTTGTTCAGACGATGGTTTAGGTGTTTCACCACGGTCAGCACTAGATCATATACGGAATCTGGACGGAAGAAGAAGTACATACAACAAACTACCTATTCATGCCTAAACTTAACCAGCCATTCCCATAAAATAACCCCAACCCAGCCTTAACCCTAACCTTAACCATCTTACTCAGACACCTAAAACTTAACCAGTCACCATTTAAGGACTTATTAGTCCAAAACTAATTCAAAAGTAGGATTGTTAATTCCTGTTTTGTCCCGATTCCGGATATGATCTAGTGCCGACCGTTTCACCATTGCCTTCTGGAAGACCTCATCCTCAGCTCTCAGAGGCGCCCCCTGGAGCCTGCACTCCCTCAGGAGGTCTTTGGCTGCAGCTTTTCCAACAGCGCTCATATTTTTAAGAGAGATTGGAACATCCTGGTGGTGAATGTGTTCAATCACCTCTAAGGACCTCCTCTGATCTGTAAGGACATCACCTCTGTGATGTCGACAGTTGCTGGTACAGTCACATCTTCACTCAGAGGACAGATCTCCTCTTTGTCCACCTGGAGTATAAATCATGTCAATTATAAATCAATTATTTTATTATATTGCATAAATGTTAACAACCTTTACCTCAAGCTTTATTGAGGTAACATCCAGCAAAGGCTGGTACTGGGGGCTCCATTAGGCCGGGATCTGGGCTCTCAGATAAACCTTCTGCTCCAGTCTCGCTCTCATCTTGGTTCACCTGGTGAACGATTTGATTCAAGTCAAGTCAAGTCACTTTTTATTGTTATTAACCTTTACCTCAGGCTTTGTCTCATCTGTCTCCCTGGACTCCATGAGGCTGGTTTCTAGATACAACTTCTGATCCAGTCTCTCTCTTGTCTTTGTCCACCTGGTGTACAATTCAATTCAATTCATGTTTTGATTACATAAATAATAAATAACATTAATAATCTTTACCTCAGGTTTTAGTGAGGAAATGTCCAGCAAAGGTTGGTTCGGCGGGAACTCAGGTTCAGAGGAGACCTCAATAATGAGTTCTTCCTAAATCTCATCCACTCTCTGTCACGCTAAGTCTCTTCTCAGCACTTTTTACGGCCTGAAATCATACACAAGCTGAATCAATGAGCTACATTTTCAATTCATTTAAGGGTTCTAATACAAAGTGTATGTAGTGATACGCATTTTTATGAACTCAGTAGAAAATAGTTACTTGCAGAGTGGTTTTCAATGGACTGTAGACAGTTTTCTGTTACTGAACAAGAGGCCCTCTTTTTGCCTTTTTTTAGAGGAAATAATGTCTACTAAAGAAAGACCTAATGTTAATGCCTAAAAACTTACATATGTATATATATATATACAAACATACATACATACAGTATATCCATCCACGTTACAGTTTTCCACGTTCTTGGTCGACAGTGGAATGAGAAGCTTTGGGCACCACTTTAAATGTGTGTTTAAATGATTTTCCTGAATATATCATTGCTTGTTTGGATAAGACATTTCAGTTAAATATATCATATAGGAGAAAAATACAGTGATATTTTTAAGAATTGAAATAAAGTTTGTATCAGTTACAGAAAAGTGTGCGGTAATTACTTAAACCAAATTAGGCATACTGTGCATATATTTAGACATTTACATTTGCACACTTTCTGTGAATGATACAAACTTTATTCCACTTCTTCGATATCCCTGTGTTTGTCTCCTATATGATTTATTTTACTGAAATTCCTTATCCAAGCAACCAATAACTTATAAAGGAAAATCATGCAAATTTAAGGGTGTCCAATGTTTGTCATACCACTTTATCTGAAAGATCTGAAATGGAATGATTTTTTGTTTCTTCTCATGCTATAGGGAGATTATGGTGTCTGTTTGTGTGAGAGTTTGAGTCTGACAGGATTAAGGCAACTGTCTTTCCTCTGCCAAAATGTCCCAAGCAGGAGCGGCTAGGGGCGATTCTTTGTGATTTCAGTGAAAATGGAAGACAAAAAAAAAGGCTAAAGATATTAAAAGATAGAAATAAAAGTAGAATGGCCCTGTGAGTATGTGCATTATACTTTATACTGTATTAGGCTACTGTATAGGTATGTGTGTGTGGCTAAATATTCGTATATGTTATTAATGTGTGGAGAAAGTTTCGGGGACGGGAAAAAGACAAAACATCATTAATAGTAATTTGAATGCACAGTAGAGATTAGCTAATGTTTCTGAGCTGAGCAACAAAAATCCAACACTCCATAAAGTTGAAATAAATATACAGAATTAGTGGATGTAACACACAAATGGACGTAGCGCGAATGTAAACTCACGTCACAAAGTGAAAGAATTATGACACAGAATGATAAGAACAATTAGTTAATTTGCTTTATTAGTTGCAACTAATCATTTATCAGGAAAAAGCATCTTTGGTAAATAATAGACAAAACAAAGTCAATGTTTCCTTTTAAACGTGCTTAATGAACATTATAACCATATATGAACTGACTTATTGGGTTATAAAAAGGCACAAACTATGCACATTCCTCTTCACGTGGTGGGGTGTTCAAGTGAAGACGTAAAGTGTTTCTTGTATAAGCTTTCAGGCAACGAGGGACTTCAGACAAAATCGTCCTAAATCCCTTGAACATTGAAATGCACCATAATGTACTCTATGTGTCACAGGTCCTTTGTCTTATGTGTTCGAAGTCTTATGTTTAAAAGTTCCATAATACGCTTTTCTTCATGTTTCACAGTCCATACTATGCACATGTATAGACATGTGCATACACACATAATCATTTAAAAATCTGCTCTGGCCATGTGTATGAAGACCAAATAGCACTGCAATCATGTTTAAAGCCAAATATGGGACCTTTAAAGGTCCTATATCACGCTTTTCTTCATGTTTCACACTCAATCCTATGCACATGTGTGATATTAATGTGTATGATACACCACACAACAATCAAAGCTTGTGAGATTAGAGCCATCTCTTGTATAGACGTGACGTCACCTCGACTCAAACGAGCTGATCCAGAGAAGAGTTTGCTCCTCTGCCTGTGAGCCCGCCTCCCCCCGCCCGCACGGTGACGTAGCATCACGCTTTTCGTTTATCACCTGTACTTAGTCATTTCATACATAAGAATAAACTTTTTCCAACAATGACAATCCGTCACATCGAGCCCTATGTCCTCGATGCACAATCAGACCCTAGTTATTTAGTTTACAGAAGTATACAGCGAGTTAGCGTCACTACTTACAGATCGAGGGGGTCCGAGTTACGTCTTTTACCGTGGGAATAACGTGTTTCCAGATCAGCTTTTGAGTAAGTCCAGTTCCATTGTCCCTGTAGTTCTGGAACAGTCTCAGTGAAGTGTCGCAGATGAACCGGTATTATAATAGATCCATGAGATGAACAGATGAAAAAAGTCGAGCCGCTTTCTTCCTCTTAGGGCCAAATAGTGTGTCACATATTTACACCCATAACACACTTCATTCAAGTTGACGTGATCCTAACACTTTTAGTTGCTGACAAAAGCATAAAAACAGCAGCTCTATGTAGTGTCCGCGAGACCAGACCACAGACGCTGGACTCGGGAGCCGGAGCCTGTGCGCTCTGATTCGCTGTTTTGATCCGTCAATCACCTCCCGCCGGCTTTTAATTTATTTTTATTTCTATTATTTTTGACAAAAAACAGCATACTAATTGTGTATTGTTTACCCCGTTTTGACAAAAGTATTTAACAACTATTTTAAATACAAAGCAAACAGGGTCATGCGCGTCTTCAGTGTGGTTTTCGTCACTGAAGTGGACCCGAGCTTTACTGTGCCTCATGCTGGGGAAGGAGACAGTTTGCTCTCTTACTAAAGATTGACAGAATCAATGAATAAACTACTGTGGGCTTGTGTATGAAGGCCAAATAGCATTGTAAGGATGTTTAAAGCAGAGAAAAGTCAAAAACCGTGATATGGGCCCTTTAAATGTCAAATAGGCTCTGTGTATGTGATCTCATAATGTCATAGAGAAACAGATTTTACTGATTAGGAGAAACAGCAGTTGAAAACTCATTTAGAAACGTAATTTCTGTTGACAGATAATAAAAGCCATGTATTGAGATTGGTATCTGCTTGGAAAAAATCTGGATTGCCGCATTCCTATCTATTACCCGTAATTATATTTAATTTATTTATAATATTTTGTGTCAACCCTGACATTTTCCCTCTTATATTAAATTTGGACATACGTAAAAGTACCCACACACACTCACACACACACACGCACACACACGCTTGTTAAATCTGACTCGTCCACGTTCAACCATGCACTGACCACATCCTGCAGCGACTGCCGATGCTGTGCTTGTTTTCCCTTTCGCCTCTTTTATACCGCGACCTCCTTCTGCGCCAGCTTATTAGTACAATTATTTTGCAGCCAGCGTGAATAAAAACATCATCTCTCCGACTGCGCATCATCAAACGTCAATGGATCTAATGAATGGTAGCGCGCAAGGCTGTTTTTAAGGTTTTTGCACCCTCTCAGCAAGCTCACTAACGGGCAGATTACGCCAACTAATGATCCGCTCTTACCACTGTGTTTTATTTCTATCCAATTATTTAAACACAGCCAATTAACTTGACGAATTGTTGTAATCACTGAATATAGCTTTTTTTTTTTTTAAACATTTGTGGATGCCAAATTGTGTATGCGTGTTTTCACCTCAGAACTCGCTCGATAGCTTTCCCACCAAGAGGCAAAGCTTGCGACAGTGCTGTGAAATTTAGGGTTGGCAAAGAAAGTCGAGCGGGAAGCGTTTAATTATGAGTGACTGTTGGATTGGAAGAGGTTGGGGGAGGCTGCGGGGAGTCAGGGCGATGGATCTAGAGCGCTTTTGTTGGAAAAGAATTGCCTGCTGGATGTCTTGGCACACGTGTCGTTTGGTAGAGTGCGGAGCCGAGTGGGGCCGGTGGCATAAGGCGTCGCATGGTTAAGAGAAATCCAAAGTGATATTGATATTGGATATAGTTTTCTGTGAATTTGCATAGACATATTTCCTCGAGGAATGGGAAATTGTGGATGTAGTGATAGAAAATTCTTGCTGACCAGGTGGTGACGGTATAATGAATGCTCAAAGCTGACGTATGTTTTTTGTTTCGTTAACCACATGTTGTTTGCTTCCAGTAGAATGAGGCTTATATAAGTGACATTTCGTGAACACATCAAACCACAATATAATGCTGAGAGCTGATTGGCTGAGTGAGGACTGGTGCTTTCAGTTGTATGCACAGATTTTGATAGTTTAGTTATTACAGGTGATTTTAATATTCATGTGGATAATGTTGATGACAGAAATGCAAAAGAGCTGAGTTCTTTACTTGATACCTTTGGTCTCACTCAGCACGTGAGTGGCCCCACCCACAGCAGAGGGCACACTCTAGACCTGTTAGTTACAAAGGGGGTGAATATTTCAAATATAAGCGTGGTCGATGTGGCTCTTTCGGATCATTTCTGTGTATTTTTTGACATGTGTTTCACTAACAAACTACCAGTGGACTCTGCAACTGTTCGAAGAAGACACACAAATGAAAATACGAGTGAACCATTTATGGGAATGATAAACTTTGAAAATGCATCGTATTCTACTGTAGATGAACTGTTTAACTCTGTCACCTCTAGTGTTTTGAATGTTCTGGATACCGTTGCCCCTGTGAAGGTTAAAATAGTGAAAAATAAGCAGAAGGCGCCGTGGGCTAAAGCAGACTCGGTCAGAGCACTGAAGAGAAAGTGCCGGAGGGTCGAGCGGAAGTGGCGCAAGTCCAACCTCCAGGTAGATTACGAGATCTTCAAAGAT